GTTGCGATGAGCTAAACTAGCTACAATTTGGACAAATGGTTTGATCAATACAGTTAACATCACACCTAATTTTTTGTGGACTTAACGCATCACTTGTGCTACGAACTGCCTAATCTGTTCCCGCTACGGATCTAGATATTCGACTCATGAGACATTCTACCCTCATGATACTAGGAAGCTAGCCTTTCAAGTCGTAGGAGGATTAAATTAAAACGTTTTAATCAGTCATACATCACTTAGTTTTAAACAATTTAGACTGCGTAATTAATTGAATTTTTGTAACTTTGAGTATATTAATTAATTGATTTTTATTAACTTTGAGCAAAGTAATTAATCAATTTTTCATAATATCGAATAGACTAGAAATAGTCTAACTTGCTATAAATTTAACGAATACATTTTTTCAGCTAAGTTAAAATTAATAAAATTTTACATTATATCGTGCATTACATGGTAAGATAGCTCCGCCGTAGTTTACTGTCAATTATGTAGTAATTTACATATTCTTTTTCATAAACTGACCTAATATGTACTTTTAATGTTTACGAAACGTTGAGTATGGCATAAAAAAATTTTCTCAACTCTTCCAAATGTTTATGTACGTCAACTGAAACACGTCTGGTAGAAAAACAGGCAGCAATAACTTTGCTCATTGCTTTAAAACCGCTAATATAAAGCTAAAATTCTAACTGATTACACGTTATTTCTTAATCATTCAGTTCATCAGCTTTTTTCAGAAGTTTTCGAAAAGCATTGCCGTCGAAAGTATCGCCCTGGTAATTTTTGGCCACATATTCAATTTTCTGTGCCATTTTATAACTTTGTCTTTGCCTAGCATTAGGATACGTGCGGATAGGCGTCTTTATCGGTATTGCACTCTGCACATCAATCACGTGCTCGATCAAGTCAGTCTGCACCGGTGACTCCTTCAGCACCACTCACAGCACAAGCTCCTTGATCTGGAGTTGCTGGGGTTCTTGCAGTTTCCTCACGTCCGCAGTCAGACTGAATTCTCTTAGCCGGTCAGAAAAATACACCCGATTTTCCACTCTACGCGCAAAGTGGTACCACATTTTCCAACTATCGACACTCTATGCATCTTCCATGGCATCTATCCGGAAACCGCTCACGGCCGGTCGTGCCCGAAGCCGCTATCAGCTGATCTAGTTTTTGCGACAGACTAAAGGGGCTCGTTCGCTCCCACACCTCGTGTTGCCTCTTCTGTTGCTGCAACGTCAATTCCACACGCGATATTGATCATCAGGAGGCAGGCGATACGATAGGAACTGAAGTCGGCGGGGTCACACTCCTCACATCCGCCCGAGCCCCAGCGTCGAACCTAAAATTCTGCAGAACCAGTACTAGCTGATCAAGCATCGCGGAATCCATTTGCGAGATGGCCGATGGCAAAATTGGATGCGATAACCCCACCGCTTCCCCAATATCTCTACCCACTACATCCACTGCATCACACCGTGGCGCGCCCGAGATCACCACGGAGGCCTCGTTTCCCCTTTCCACCTCCGACTCGAACGACTCACTCTCAGCACTCCTCCTAATAAGGATATGGTGAGCCATGTCCGCCCTGCCCGTAGATCCAGATGTCGGCGGGAAGTGCTGCACCCTCTTTCGTCCAGAGAGATGAAGAAAAGACGTCTCCGCGCCTCCCGAGGATTTGAGACCGGGCGGGCCAATGCGAGTCAACGCCTACTCCAAGATCGTAGAGAGGCTCTAGCCAACTTCGGTGTCTCTACTCTCCCCGTGAGCTGGTTTCGGTAACCTGCCTGATAGAAAATCCTTGGGGTACAGGGAACCGCCAGTCTCCAGCCGCGACGCCATCACAAAAGTGCGAAAAAAAAGATCCTGAAGCACGGCTAACTTTCCCTCCGGGCCCAGACCCTTCTGGAGCATAAACTCTGCCAACTGCTGCGACGGCATCTTCAAAATATGCGTCCTGCTGGAGCTCTGGCTGCTTCTTCAGGTGACGTATATATAAATCCGGTTTTCCTGACGTGTATGGTATTTTGACTACTCCCGAAAGGGGCACGATGAATTAGCCAACCCGTAAACCTATAAAAAAACTTGAGTTGTTCTGGTGTCGGTGCAACCCGCTGGCATGTTTGCCTATGCGGACACTTTTTGCGCGCGCGCTGGACACCCCCCTCCCCGAACGAACTACGCACACTCACACGGTAAATCTGCTGCACTCCAATCTCTTACACACTGGTTCAATGTTCGCCTTCTGCTGCACCAACTCCACACCTGTGGAAAGATACGCGTCGTCTAAGACTAGCAACCAACAATCCAAACGAGAAGAAAACAATGAAAATCCTAAAAAACTCTACACTTGGGGGATATGGGCCTCCCAGATTCTAGTGGCACTCGCCTGACCTTGAGTAGCAGCGGCCTATGCCTAATATTCCCTACAGCGCTTTGCCGAAGAGAAACTGCATTTAACTCCACTGTTAAATTTAAATTTAAGCTGCTACGCACACCCTCGAGTACTTAGACAGCTGCTACGCACGCCAATTAGCCGTTAAGCACTTACAGCGCAGTCGCACACTACACACCCGAATCGCTACTGCGCACGCCGATTGCCTCCGTACAACCGATCTGCTACTGCGCATACCAATCCACTGCTACGCACGCAACCTCCAGTCGCACCAAACGAACCTTTCTTGTCCGCGATACTAACACACGCAAGCGGCGTGCGCTCAGGTTAGCCTTAGCACTCAAGCGAACCACTGGAGCTCACTTGTTGCTGAGAGCTCTCTTCACTCTAATGTCCATAAGACTAACGCGCTCGCGCTCACGAATCACGAACTTGTCTCTGTTATTGCCCGCCAATCTGATCGCGCATTCGCCTCAGTTTCAATCCTCATCGATTCTCATTAACACATCACGCGCGCGTCGCGGAAATCTCTAAAAGGGATGCTCTATAACGGAGAACCAGCCAATACCGCTTGGTTACTTCGTGGTATTATTTATTTAAGGTGGGGATCTGGGAAGCACAAACGTTCCCATGACCAAATGATCTGCTGAGCCGAACGGATTAAAACGTGCGGAAATAATTTTTCCGGGAGGAGGAATGACACAGGGAATAAATCAATAAACCTTGGCGTTCTCAAGATCCAGTTTTAATAACAACGAAGAATAACAAAACAAATAAACAACTTAAGAAGCAACAATGAATTTAAAAATAAACGCAACACTATAACGCTCGCCTATCGCATGACCGACAAATTTTCTCCGTGCTCGCGAGGAAGTAAAAATTGACGTCAAGTCTGCCATCCGATCCTCCTTCACACTACAATACCGCGCTTTACAAGCAATACTAAATGGCGCCCGTTACTAAGGAAAATCGTCGCAATCGCTAAACGGCGAGGTAGCTGGCAGATCTGCCACACTAATCGCCCGACGGAGACACTCGGAACATGCGAAAGAGAAAGAGAGAGAGAGAGACAAAAACACGGCACCGTCTTCGTGCAACTGCCCCGGCTGTCCTAACTGCTCCTCCCATTGCCAAAAGATCTGCTGTGTGTGTGTATGCGTGTGTGTACTTCTATTGTTGTCCATGCTCGTGTTGATGTTCTTGTTGTTACTGTTGTTGTAGTTGTTGTTATTATTGCTGTTATTGTTGTGCTGCACAGTTCGTCTCCTGTTTCTCACCAACCAACTCTCTCTTCAACAATCGTCGCTCTACTCTCCTTAGCGGCAACCGCTCACGTGTGCACGCCCGCAATACCTCGCCGGTAAACTCACGCGCACCAGTGCGAAATCCAAGCAATACGAGTATATGGCTGAGTGCGACCCAGCCAATTTCTCACGTCGAAACGAAACAAACTTTCATGCACCGGGCGCGTATCCTTTCAATTAAACGTCGACGAGGGCGCGGGAAACTCGACAGAAAATCAGGAACTAATACCGAAAGTACTTGCGCGTGACGGCCTGTACTATATTTCAGTACCAACTACTGAAAAATTGGGGCGAGGATGCGCACGCAACTTTCCTTTCTTTTCTCTCTCTATTTCTTTCTCTTCGTTCTTCTCTCACTACCGCCTGTGCTCTCCTTCATCGCCACTCCAGCGCCGCACCTCGGAAAACAAAAAAAAGCTTTTATGAGTATATGCTCATAACGTACACACTCGCAGGCTGGCGCGGCGGGTGGAACCCAACGAAAGCCTGACGGCAGAAACGACGACCATGCCGCGATTCTCTTTCACAAATTTAAGGTTAAATTCTCTACTTTAAGATGAAGTAACTTGATTTTCTATTTGATGCGACCTAGTAACACTAGTAATACTCATTACTAAATTTAAATCGTCAGGGTCATAATCAAGGTCACAAAAAAATTTCTCCTAGAATCTAGTCACTTTTGTCAGAAACATTTTTTGTTGCTCTAATCGTTATCGGACCAGTCGGACGAAAAATTTGCAAAACAAATGAAACCGAACTTTACTTTACTTTAAGACACGACTTGGTGGTCTGCTAAACCCCACACGTGATACATCATCTAAACGTAAAATTTCCCGCTCGATTTGAATCTGGAGTCAACAATGAAGGTTCCTATTTAAAAAACAAAGGTTGACCTTGGAGATTACCGTCAAGATCAAAGTCAAGATCATCATCACATGTCGTGAAGTCTAGCAACTTTTCTGAAATATTTTGAAACCCCTACATGGATGAAGATATCTAGATGCTTCGATTAAAATGGTCCACCCAGTATATAATGAGAATCGAAGAAAATACTCTGAGGCGAAGAAAAATCAATATTAAATGAAAATACATTCCTTAATTTATTGTATAATTTATTATATAAATACATTCCTTTATTGTAAAATACAATTGCGAATGTTTCTCAAAATGCATGGGGTCAAGTGGGAGAGGGTAGGAAGGAGAAAAATGGCTAAAAATGAAAATTTGTAAAAAAACGTGAAAAGTACATTGAATTCACATGGAATAATGTAATATAAAAAGGGAAGGGGAGGAGAGGGGCAACTGCAAAAAGCGCTCTTACAAGTGTGTATATATTTGTGTGTGTTTATATACGTATAGTTAGATATATATAATATTATTTTATAAAAAATATATATTATGTAATCTATTATAGGACAAAGAATGGTTATTTTATTGTACATTACTGTATGAGTTTATTCATCACGGTTTTATTTTAATATCCGCTACTTATTTCAGCATTATTTCGATATAATGGATCAACTTGCGACTTTCGCATGTTATTACCAGTATAAGCTACACACTTCAATTGCCATTCTCCTACATCTTCATTCCAATGAACAAATCGTTCAACCAGCGTCTGTAACACATTATTTGAATTGATTTTACTGCTTATGATATTTCTAATATAGAAAATATAATTAGAAATGACTCTCGTTTACATGCAAGAAAATTTCATCGACAGTAGTCTTTTAGTGTTATTGTAATTACTACTTTTAGACAATTCTTATTACCATTCACAATATTACTATTTTTAGATCATTTATCCCATCAAATAAGTTTTAAACAAAGAGAATCGACGTAATTGTATGCATTTTACATAAGTTTTTTGAAACTAAATTATAGTATCTCAACCACAGCTAACATACATAATGTTTCGAAGAACAAACTACCTACCTAACTCATAAGGGAATTCATGCACATACCCGTACAGTCACCCAATAAGCCCACTCCTATCGATGAAAAGTCGAAAGTGAGAAGAGGCAAGGGGGAGAAAATGCTGAACCGTGACCAACTACGGTCCAGCACTTTCTACTATAAGCCAAGTTTCCAAATTTTCACATAGGTACTTATTTAATGGTAAGGCGTTGAGAAAAACAAATGAATGTGTTATGTGTTTGCTTTTTGCGAAAGGTTTCGAAAACTAAGAAGAAAAAAAAGTGAATATGTTGTCAAAAATTACGCATTTTATGTTATCGACTTGGTTAATTGTTTTCCCTTGAATTTTAATGTTCAACTTCTTAGGTGTACTATTGTAATTAATATCAAATTTTATGTAGATGATTTTATCAGTATTGAGTGATAATTTGTTTCGTCCTAGTCATTTACTAACAATTTTCGAGTATCTTGTAACATGGTGCTTTACCGACAAATTATCTTGGGTTCGGATCTTGGGTATGTAAATAAAATAACAGACTAAGATCAAAACGAGGGCCACTATGAAATTGCCTTAGTATAAATTAATTTCTATATGTACAATAAGTGAGCCTGTTTATAAAATAATGAAAAAGGTTTAATTTTATGCCTGTAAAAATGTAAAAGAAAATTTCGTATACTGTGCAAATGTATGTGTGAGTGTGTATACTCGATATTTCAAACTATCACCAAGATGTAAAGAAAGGCAAGAAATGAGTAACAATGATATAATTCGGAGAGAAATAGTAAGGCATGAAATCGGTAATTCATAAGAGACATCTAAATGTTATTTCATACTCCACATTTCTTAGATCGAATACAAATTATTATATCTATCAGCGTCCCGCGTATTCAGACAAAATGGCTAAATAAATGATTCTCTGAACATAGCTGGTTAAATATTAAGTCATGCAGTACTCAGTCATAAATGTTTTCCTTTTTTAAAGTTATTCCCATTTCACGATTCGTTTAAGCTATAACCTTCAATAAGGCATTAGCAATCAATCAGGGTAATATATAATTAATAATAAATTCAAGCAGGGTGAGAATAAACGAGCTATAATACTCTTATACCGTCGAATGTTATAACAATTACGACAGAAATAAATTGCGAAGCAGTTCAATAATAGTAGAGAATACACCTTCTTACTAGCTTAATGCCATCGGCAAACTCTGGCTTTTTCTTCTCTCTTATGTAACGGTTCGGTCTAATTTGTTTTTATTTTGACTATCACTGCGCAACGGCAACTCACCATACGAGTACACCCGAAAATGCGGAAAAGTACTATAAAAAATAAGTTGCTACCTCATATATACGCTTAGATGTGTTAAAACAATTGATCAAAATCATTACCATACAAGGAGCGTGACGCCACACCCATGCGAAATCCGTTGGTTACTATTCAAAATTTGTAATTTTAAACTTTTTCAATGAACAAAAGCACTTTTTTAGTTAAATTTGATGCGCTAATCTCAAATTTAAACTTATTATGAGTATTAATTATATAAGCCTTAAGTATTAATTAGATAAAATGAAATTTAATTTACGAGTGTAAATCATAAACAATTTTGCAATAAACAAATATAGTATGATTTTGAATATTGCTCAGCAAAATAGCGTATTAAGAAAGAGACGCAAGAATTTGACATCATGATAACTGATTTTTTAACAAAGTTATCAATAAATAAATAATTAATAATTTATTTAAACACTTAAAATTACTTTGCAAGATAGCTATCCAACTGTACTTACTGGTAAAATTAGTAAAAATAATTGTTATTCAATTATTCAAAAGAATTAATTTGCAAATTCGTTATTTAATTATTATTCGAATTCTATTTGTTATATTCGTAACCTTGATATTGAATAATGTTTGGTGTATCGTAAATAAATTTTTGGTGTACAAATTTCCTATCGTTTTATTGTAAATATTGTCCTATTCATTTAATTAATTTTATTTTTTATAACTTCGTAACGCGATTTTTCCCCAAGAACCGATTTATATTATACATTCAGCGTTTCCAACTCAAATTTTTAAATCACAAGCTATTCACTTCGTGTGTTCGCTTTTACGGTAAAGCATGTTTAATTAAGTGAAAAATTTCGAGATATGATATCTCATTTGATCAGAGTTTCACCAAGTGGTAGAGGATTTTCTTTGAAGTTACCTTATAAAATTGCACAACTTAATTATAAAATTAAGCGGCGCTACCTCACTGTTTACGCGACTGTATACAAATAAGAGTCGAATCAAAATAAACAGCGTGACGTCACAAAATAATAGACATAGATATAATGATTCATGAGATTAAGAAAAATATGTTAATTATAGATAATTTGAATATAACAAAGTATCGATTATATAGATTTTAACATGTAGATTCATAATATTTCATTCAATTATAAATTAATAATGAATATCAATATACAAAGTTGATTTATTTATTAACATATGAAATATTAGAAAAATATAAATAATTTATATGCAAAATGAATAAGCATAGAACATGAGTAAGAATTGGTTTCATTAATAACAGCTGAATAACAACTGTTATTAATAAATAAACAATTAATAATTTATTTAAACAATAAGCCATATATAGAACGAAAATATTAAGTTAATACTTGATAATGATAACTTTATAATTTAGAAATCTTAGATAATTAATCTAATAATTGCATATTAAGATTAGAAAAAACCGTTACAAATATGAAAAATTAGTCATAATTCAAATGTTATTAATTAATTTAAATAATTAATTTTGGAAAATACTTCCAAAATTAATCAACTATAAAGTTATATGAAATTTTAATAATTTTCTATTGTAAATAATGTAATATCACGTTAATTAACTTTATTAGTTAATAACTTTTGACGACACTATTGGCGATAATTGTATACTGTATAAAATCAACAAATAACAAATTCTGTAAAATTTACATGTGTTAAAAACTTAATATTAATGGTTATTTACTTGTAAATTAAGAAAACTTATTTCTCAAAATTCGCGAATGTCTCTCGAATTTTCGATGAAATCTTTCCTGCAATAATAAGCGGGAAAATCTGTGTATAAATAGGCCCACCTTTGCATAGGCTAGCATTCACTTCTAGCCTTGCAAGGTGAGCGCATGAGTCTGAATAAACTTGGATTAATACCTAAGTTCTTTCTCTCATTGTGATTAACTAAGCAAGACTATCCTTTCCTTATAATTTGAGCTCGACTTATAAAACATCTCGCGCTATAAGAAACTTGGGCCGAATTATATCCTATCAAAGAAAGACTTTAGCTCTGCTTATGGGACAATTCGCACCATAAGAAACTAGGGCATTGTCTGACTTTCCTCGATATATTGCACTTACTTATGTATATTTGATTTACTTATTTATTATATTTGATTCATTTATCTATTTTCTTGACAATTAGAGTAAAATCATTGGAAACAAATTCTTACTCATTAGCTAGATTACGAGAGTTCGAATTATTTTATTTATAAGTGATACGAACATCACATGCATCGAAGGTCAAAGCTCGTAATCTTATTTCTTTCTCTCTCTCTCTCTCTCTCTCTCTCTCTCTCTCTCTCTCTCTCTCTCTCTTCAGTGGTATGGCACAGCGTGTAATTGTAAGGGTAGGTAGGTAGCAAGGCGTACACGCGCCGGCTACCTGCCTTAATTACGGTCGGCGTCATAAATTGTTCAGGTAGAGTACCGACCAGGCGATCCCTCACCGGGCGGCTTTCTCTTTTAGTTTTAGTTTAATCCAGGCGACGCGTGCTGTATATCTGTTAGATTTGTAAGCGCGATAAGTTAGTTAATTTATTCATTGTATTGGTATTGTATTAGGTGTTAAGAACACCGTTGTGTTTGATAGTGTTAAGACGTGTTTGCAACGCCGTTGTGTTCATTAGTTTAAGAGTTTATAAAAGCTGGTTATAATAAATAGAATTATGCGGTTTATTCTTTTGCGGTTTGTTCATGTACGGTTTTTGAAGTGTATATAATTTCTTAATTACTTTCATTTCCTTACCTCCCCCCCCACCTCGATTGCTATGAGTGAGTGCGCTTCACTTGCCAACTTTAAAAATTGATAACGAACGAGCTTTCGTTACAATAAAATAAGTTCAAGTAATCAGTTTTTATACATTGACATGGAAAAACATTTGTTAACTATTAAGAAGAATATTTTAGTACTGTATTTTAAATTACATACTATGGAAGAAAACCTTTTATGTTTAAAAAAAATGAAAAACAAGCCTAAAGCAGTTGTAAATGAGCTTCATAAGTCAATTCGTCGTAATTATCCACAAAGATCATTTGACATCAATAATATTAACGAGACATGGCAAATCGATCTTATTGAAATGATATCATATCAACGAGAAAATAAAAATCACAATTATATCTTGTACGCTATTGACTGCTTTTACAAGTATGCTTGGTATAATGCAAACAGAAAACTGGTAAAGCTATGGAAACTTGTGAAAGGACGTGTGCCAAAGATAATATGTCTTGAAAAAGGTTGTGAATTTATAATAAAGATTATGAATGTTTAATGACCAAATATAAAAGGCATATGTATTCTACATATAGTAAATTGAAAGCATCGATTTGTGAACGATTTTTGAGAAAGGTTATGCACACAATTGGTCAACAGAAATTTTTA